GCTGTAAACAGGTGGATCACTACGATTCTGATCTAGTAGTGAGACCTTGAACACCCTGTAGACCCTTCCCTAAAATAAAAAAAAAAGAAAGAAAGAAAGAAAGAAAAGAAAAAAAAGAAAGAAAGAAAGAAAATGAATTTAGAAGAGAATGTACAAACAATTAAAAAAAGGAGATGAAACAAATTAAAGCATTAATTACTTCTTTTCATGGGCCAGCAGAAATACATAGTACAGTTGTCCAAACCATCCTGCTTACATACATAAATAAATCTCTTACACCACTCCATCTCCTGCCCTTCTCAACTCAGTAACTCTTTCCTTTTGAATAAGCTTATTCCCCTTTCCCAGTATTTGTTGTACTCTTCAGATTCCATTTTTCTCTTTCGGTTTCTCACACTAAGGAGACAATATGATGTTTGCACATGAGCATCTGACTTACTTCACTTTATAAGAGTATGTTCTCTAGTTGTATCCATTTACTGACAAAAGACTCAAATTTATTCTGTTTTATAGCTGAATAATACGCCACTGTGTAAATTACCACATCTCCTTTATCCATTCTTAAGCTGAAGAAACCTTTTCTGATTACTGTTGAGGTTGAGTCTTCTCTGAAACTCCTTTCAGATGCACTTGGAATCTTATCAACTCTAAGTGTGTGGGCTTTGCTTCCATAGTTTTCATCTCTTTGTCTATTTCATTATTTGAATAATTTCTTCCAGATTTTAGAATATGCCTAATCTGCTGGACCATTCCACTTCAGTTCTTATTTCAATTGTAACATTTTTCTATTTTTAGAAATTGTATTTGCTTTGCAAAATAGGGAGACTATTACTTTTGTTCCATTGTCTTTATATAATTGTAATCTACTCTTCTAATACTTTTTGGGCCACTTAAACTCCCTTCATATGTGAGGAGTAGTTACATCTAATGTCCTTTAAGGTGTGATCCTTGTGCTTTGCTTCTTGGCTATCCCTCATGGCATCTTGACCGCTTGTGTATTTTGTGAGTTTTGACTCTTGGGCCATATTCTTGGGTGCTATTGTGGAAATTTTCTGAGGTCCTATTTGAAGGTATTTCTCTCAGAAAAGATCACATTTATGGAAGCAACTAAAACTTGAAATCAGCTTAGAAAAATTTGTTTTTCAGCTTGAGGATTTTTGGCCCTCATTGTGACCTGTAAACCCTTGTGCAGGTTTGTTTATGGTTATAAATTCTCCGGGTTATGCTTTCGCCTTCTGACTAGCATAATGGCCAAGATAAGCAAGTTTCCTGGTGTCTCTACATGTAGGCGGTTTGCATCTCATTCACCCTTGTCCTAAAGAGGCACCCTTCGAGGTTCTAACGCTTTTCATAGGGTTCTCCTATTAGACCTCACTGTGGCTGGCCCTGAGCTTGATCTAGTGTCCTCTTCACCCCACACAACTATCAAAAGCTAAGATCAGCTGGACATGGTGGCTCACACTTATAATCCCAACCCTATGGAGGCTGAGGTAGGAGGATCACCACAAGCTCAAGGCCACCCTGGGCTATCTAGCTCAAGGCCACCCTCAACTACACAGTGAGACCCTGTCTCAAGAACACTTTTTTTTTTTTTTAAAAAAGCTAAGATCAATTCCAGCAGGGATCTCTACTCATGTCTCCACTGAGAGGGGTATGTTCATATACTTTTACTCTTCAAATTTCCTGCTTTCATATGGTTTGCTTCTGATATCTTACATGCTTTCAACTCAGTGATTCAGTTTAGAATAATTTTTCATTCTGACATTTTACTTAGCATTGCTAGTTGTTTCCAGTGGAGGACTGCTCAGAGAACCTCATCTTCTACGCAAAAACAAACAGGAGTCTACTGATTGTGCTGGAGATTGAACTCGGACTTCTGCAGGCCAGGCAAGAGCTCTTTTGTTGAGCTACGCTCCCCAACTAAATTCATTGTATGTTTTGTATACTTGAAGCATT